AAAAGAATTATAAATTTGAAAGACTGTCAGAAGTGTTATCCTATGTAATGGATTGTTCTGCATAAGTTATAGGGTATTGGGCTTAGTCTCAAAGCCCATTCGTAGTGTCTGTTGCGCAGGTCTATATATATGGGCCTTAAGTTCTGTATTAAGAGCAGACTCATAATGTTTTCTTATAAAATAATAAAAAGTTCGGTTCTCTCCATTTTCTTGGGCTTTATTTAGTCCCATCTTGAGTTAATTTTTCTTTTTGGGCTATGCCCTCTTTTGTACAAAAAAAAAAGGACAAAATAAAATAGAATTTTTATATTTAGAATCAAAGAAAACCTTTTTGCTAGTTTTTATATTTAGAAGCAGAAGTATCCTGTTTCAGTTTCTAATTATTTTTTGAAAAATTTCTGGAATTGTGCTTTAGTCCTTTAGGAAGGAAGGGTTATATTGACTTGATATTCTTTCATCTTACCATCTTTGGTCTTTAATATAAAAGCTAATTAAGAAGTTGGATATAGTTCTAAATATGAAATTTTAATCCACTTTTGTTATCCAAATTTATATTTAGTTTCAATGTAAATAATTAAAGAACACACATTTAATTTGTTTTGCATAATTACGTTAACTGATTTTCTTAATATTCAAATTAGTTAAAATGCTAAGGCACTAAGTTTGGTTATTAGGAGGACGTTATTGAATTGATGACGTGAATATGTAATCATGTGTTACATTCAATGGTCGTGGATTTGTCATGATTTTATCAGACGATTCTATTATTCGGATTAGAAAACTTCACAACAAGGATACAAGAGATTTATGTGTTTTTTATTTTTATTTTTCAAATTTACAATGGCAACGAGGGTATGCCTGTTATTTGTTTAAACATACGGATGGAATTGTCTCATTACATTACATTACCTCATGATCTATGGGGCCAGAGCCTCAGAATGAAATGCTCGGCTTCGGCTTTGGCCCATCACACACACACACACGGTTCATCATTAATTAATATGATGGATGATTGCTTCCGTGCCATCATAAGTGGTGTTAAACCAGATGAACGGTGTTGGAGTGGGTTACCAATTTAGTTATTTTTATCCTGCGACTTGCCTAAAACCGCGTCGTTCTGTCTGAAAAATCTAAATCTGAAATCAAATTCTGGTCTCTCATCTCATACTGGGGAAAAAACAAAACTTTAAATCATTGAACATGATTTGGTTAAAAAAGAGAAGAGCTAAGGATGATGATAAGAAATGACTGACGAAGGAAGGAAACGAACACATAAGTAGATTAGCACGTTCAAATCTTTTATTTTATTTTTCACTTTCTCCTACTTATGCCCTTCATTAAAACGGCTAGTAGTGCTTGATTTTGGATGGAAAAGATGCTTTTGCCTTTCAGAACAACTTGAATCTTAGATATGACAACGCAAAGCATTTCATATTATCCATCATTTCGTTCAAAAAAATATAAAAAATACATCAAAAACATTTAAAATATTTATTTGACCATATTTTTAAATAAAAATTAAAAAAAATACTTGAATTACATGTCAAATGGCAAATATTATTTTTTAAAATAAAATGGTTTATAATAAAAAAATATAAAAGTTTTGACATGTCAAAAACCATTATTTTTATCAGGAGGGGAGTTGATAATTAAAACATGAAATATTAGATACCTTAATTAAAATTTTTAGAAGTTAGGGAGGCGGTGTGCAATTGATCTAAAGTTTAAGTGTTTTCTGTATTTTAACCTAATTTAAAAAATGGCAAACATCTTCCAATGTTTAATTGAGCCAAAAAGATTTAAGAAAATAATGGGAAAAACACATGAGAGCTGGATACCTGGGAAAGGGCTGGCCCAAATTTTTTTTAAAACACATTTGTTAATGTTGTTAAAAACTTTTTGAAAACAGCGAAGGTCACGCTCACACCTTCCCGCAAGCGCGCATGGTCATATTATAATTAAAAAAATCCAACTCACGAGAAGGTTTAGATCGTCTCCAATAATTTTATGTATCTTATTTAAAAATAAATTTATTCTAATTAAAATAGATATACTGATGCATATATATCTATATATATACATTTAATAGTTTTTCACATTAATATCATCATGAAAGTGTTAAAAAAGAAGGAGTAATATGGCCCTTAATTGTTAAAAATATTAATCCATAACATTAGTTTTTTAATGGTTAATCTTAATGTTCTCCTTCATTAATACTTTCATATCAATACTGATCCTATAAAATTTTTTAGGATAAATATTAATGTTTAAATAAATCATCGTTAGGTGACCTATGATCTTCAATGATATAATTTATTTACGCATCAAAGATATGAATTGGATCAATGTCATAAATAATATTTTCTGAACTATTAAAGTCGAGAATCTACAATAAATTGTTGGCAAAAAAAATCTACACTAAATTATTTATTTAAATAAATAAAATGATGTTCATTTGATCCTTTTTTTGTCAATGTATAACATTATCGGCAATCGTTCATTATTTTACAGTATTTATATCTTTCTCCTTGAGGTTTAAAAATTTTATTTATTTAACATTTCAATTTTAAAATTAGGATTTCAATTTTTTATGCATTTTTGTGGACAAAAATAATGAAATAACGTATAATAGTGTTCTAATAATCCTTAACACTTCATCGGTAACGATCCAAAGTATGGCATATACTCCAATAAAAGATTAAGTATTATTGACCAAGAAATTCAAAAATAAATTTTATTTAACTCTTGATTAGTATATATTTTAATTTTGTAAAGCCCCTGGTCAAAAAAATTTCTCAAGTCAGAATGCATTTTGTAGGAGGATAGTATTCCCAAGATTTGGCCAAAAAATCTTTAAAAAATATATATCATAAATTTTGATCCAGCTATATATTTAGATTTAAAAATGGATGGTCGAAATTTAACATGTCATAAAATTATTATTATAAAAATAAACTTAAATTGTTAAATTTTGACATGCGCAGTTCATGATTATAATGTAAAAGTTTTAAAAATTTTAAATTATAAAATATAAATAACAATAATTTTATGAAATGCTAAATCTAAAACCATCTATGTTTTGATTCAAGGGTGTATACGGGTTTCTGAGGATTAAAAGGATTGGAGAAAAAGGAAAGGATTTAGACCAGAAATGTTGAATGATGATGGGTCGTTGAGATTGAAATAATAATGGAAGAGTTACATTTCTGGCCAATATATATATAATGATTATGAAGTGACTCTCATATTGACTATTACTAGTCAATATAAATAAGTCATATTAATACACAAGTTCGTCAAGTCTTTTTAATTTATAAAAACATCCTGGACAAGTGGACAACTACGTTAATACTCTTCTCTCTCTCCTCAATTTATGTTTAAGCGGATGTAAAATTACCTGCTCCATTTTCAAGTCATATTAAAGTAATATGAGTCTCTTTCACTTGGTGGGTAGTTACAAGTATCAACCCATTATATTTTGCGATTTCCCCCCAATTTGGTCTACTTCCAAGATTTGGGTACTTAAAAGAGGATATATGGTCTACTTGTCTTCTCATCCTTCACACCAATTATATGTTAGGATTTTCCCCCAATTTCTCCTAAAAATTAAATATATTATTTAAATTTTAATTATTCTCAAATAGCTATTTTTATTTTATAATTTCAATTTTAATTATTCTCTAACAATTATCATATTATAAACATATGTAAATATGTATTATTCAATAAAAATAGTATCATTTTCAGTCATTTTACATCTAAACTTATTTTTTGTTAATCATCAAAACAAGTTTCAACTTGTTAAGCTGATTTTTTTATAAATGTCAATCACATCATACTCATTTTTATTTTAACTCATATTTACAAAAATCTGATGAAGTAAAAGTTACTTTTGATTTAAACACGCACTCACTCGGCCTTTTTATTAATTGAAACTGACCCATATTATTAATCAAATGAAATTGACCCAAAAGCAAGTCTTCCACTTCTGCTCATCCTTCTTACGCGTAATTTGCTGATTGATTGTTGAGATTGAAGTTTCACTGAATTGTCTTTTGGGATGTCACCGTCAGGTAGAAAAAAGATTAAGGAGGATGTAGGGTCTACTTGTCTATATAATGCCCCCCCTCTTTATCTCTCTTCTCCACACTCACCTCTGCTTCTTTAAAATTTGGTTTGGGCGAAGTTGCAATCTCATTCTCCTATTTCTTTAATTTAGTAAGCCTCTGCTTCTTTGACATCGTTAACTTCTTATTGGTTTTTGTTGGTTCATTTTTCTCCTTCTTCTCCTCCTCATTCATCCCCTCTTTCTTCTTCAAGTTTTCCTTCTTTTGGGCGTCATGATTATATTTCCTTTTTATGGGGTTCTTGTTTGGTCTGGTCTTCCATAACTATGACCTATAGTTCTCATTTGCATCATTTAAATGTAATTTGGCAAGGGCTTAAAGTCGGTAGTCATTAAAAAAAAAAAAAGTTGTTGACCAGTACAACGAGATTAAAATTATACCCGAATTTACATCTATTGTTGCTTTAGTTACGGGATTGACTACTTTGATGAAAGTAAAGTAGAGGTGTGCACAAGGAAAAGAACTAAGATCAGCAGTTTTCTATCTGCCTTTCTTCTTCGTTTGCTCTGTTACGTTCTTGAATGCTCGATTCCCTACAGTGTTACTGTATTAGTGTTGTTTATTCACTGGAGAATTGACTGCATTTTAACTTTAACTTCACACACTTCAACTGATAAGTCCAAGAAAATAATTGCCCACAAAACAATAAATTATAAATATATAACTTATATTGAGTATTGTATTTTGACCTTTGCAGCATTTATGTATTTATTTATTCTGTTTGTCTGAAGGTCTTTTCTAAATGTGATTGATTTTCTCTCTTCAAGATTGGGAATTACTTGATAGCTGATCAAAGCTTGCCGCATATATATAACAACCCCTTCCATTAACTTGTTCATTGAAGTCAATCGTGCTCAAGATGATGAGTTCGTTCGAGAAACTGCACAGTGATGCCATGGGAGGAAAGTGGTCAGAAGCATTTGAAAGATGCAAGCAAGAGAGGGCGCTTTGGACAGCCAAGATAACAGGGACGGGAGACACAGTATTACACATGGCTGTGTCTAGTGGGGAAGAGAAGGTGGTGGCAAACATGGTTGAATTCCTAGTTGAACAAGAGAAAAGTTTCCCCCAAAATGATGTGGTGGTTACAATGGACGAAGATGATGGGGAAACGTGGAACATGAATACCGTTCTTAGTGCTGAAAATGATAGAAAAAACACTCCTTTACACTTAGCAGCAATAGAGGGGTCTGTTGAAATGTCCAGGAAGATCGGTGGCACGGATCGCTCTTTAATTGCTCGCCGTAACATCGCCGGCGAGACACCCCTTTTCCTAGCGGCTCTCAATGGCCGCAAAAAAGCTTTTCTTTGGCTTCATTATCTGTATGTGGGAAGCCATGGAGTTTCTTCAACTGGCTTTGCTCACTGTATAAGGGACAACGAAGATACCATTCTTCATTGTGCAATTGCAGAAGGGCATGCTGGTGAATCTAAATTAACATTCATTCTTTCATTTACTGTTAATGTACTTGTGATGATGAATTATTACTAAGTGCAGGTGTGGCAATCGAAATAGTTCACCTTTATAAAGATCATTTGAAAGAGATGATGAAGCGCAACAAAAAAGGGTTGTCTCCACTTCATCTCCTAGCAGCAAAACGTAGTGCTTTCAAAAGTACTAGCCTCCATGAAGTACCAATCCTTGCTCTTCTAATTTATCGTAAGTTCTATATATGTCTGTGAAGGGAATGCAATGCGTACATGTGTGTGTTTGTAATTTCGAGTTTCAAAGGACATTCTTTTAATAATTATTATATATTTATATGCATGTGGCTTGTTTGTTTGGAACTTTTGTAGGGTTGTGGAAAGTTAATGAGAAGAATCAGGCCACGACGCTTGAAGAATTGCAAGCCATGAAAGACAAAAGTAAGTTTGCTTCACATGTTACTCCGCATCTGTTTTCTTTTGTCCATAACAAATGTGCATTTATTTTAATTCGAATTAGCTTAAAGACCTTGCCTTCAGCAATTCGAAGCTATGATACTAGAAAGAGATGAAACATGGGAAAAAAAATCATTTAATCCTTGAAATTTTAATTCGAAGATAACTCAGTCCTCAAATTTTAGTTTGACACAACTCATCAGTACTAACAAATTTTCTGACTAATTAATATTTAATTTGCAGAAAATTATGAAGGAAAAAGCATTTTGGTCAAATTTATGAAGCGCGTCGCATTAATCCTCCTGCGGGTCGCCGAGGCATTCCTGCAGTTAACATGTTCTGACGCAGGCAGGGCATATGCAAGAGCGTGCATTTAATTAAAATCATGCGCATATACTTATATAGGCACGTTGATGAAATTTGAATTGATTGATTATTAATTCAAAATTACATGCATCATGATGCCCATTGATACAGTGAAATACACATCATTTAGATATAGTTCTAATGGTCTACATTTAAAATTTTTAACTAATGTTTTTGAAATAAAAAATTATTTTTTTAAAATTTATGATTAAGAGATTACATTTATTTGGATTATATACCTAGATTATGCATCTATTTAGAATTAAAATTCTGAATTGATAATTTTTAATTTAAATTCTATATTAATTCATTAAAATAATTGTTTTTAGAAAATAAAAATAAATTTGGATCATTCAAATTAGATCTAAATGGTATAGATTAGTTGCATCTATCTATCCCCCTCTCAAATTTTGTGATGCGTGTGTGTGTATGTAAATTATTGATGATGAAGACGCCGTCATCATCTATTACGATTCTGAACCTACGAATGTACATTTTTATTTGATATTTGGGTTGAGGTAGAAATTTACCTATGAAATATTTCACTATATACATCATGTTTAAAGTAGTGCAAGAGTATAAATTTTTTTTGGGTGCAAGAGTATAGATGAAATTTTAAAGTAGTGTAAAAATATCATGGCCTTAAGTCAATTAATGTTAACCATTTAGCAAACATATAGGTCAAGAAAATAATGTAAAAATATAAAGAAAGTTTTCAAAATCTTACAAAAATGTCACAGTTGTTAGAAACTTTATATATATTTTTACATCATTTTAAACAGTTTATATGTATTTTCGTATCATTTTCTTAGTTGACATTTTTGCAAAACAGTCAACGTTAGTTGGTTAACTTAACAGTCATATTGTTTTTGTACTAGTTTGTAAATTTCATGTTTACTTCTGTACTCGAAAAAAAAAATTATGGTATTTGGTGCTCCTGACAAACTGCTTCATGAGTAGATCTACATGTATGTTTACGTGTGTAATTTAATTTACGCTTTTCTTTCATATTACTTAGCTTTACTTTTTATCTTATTTTTCACCGGTTATTTGACTAAAGACAACATTTAAGGACTAAGTGATTTGAATAACCAGCTAAAGTACAAATAAACATACATGGCAGCCATTTCTCTCAACATTATTTTAATTTTTTTTTTGGAAATAAGTGCTGCTTGAATCCCCGACGCTCTCTCACTTGCATTTCTTCTCCGAAAAGTAAAAACTGTCCCCCCCCTTTCTTTCCGTCACTCCACGGTCTACACTTCTCTCTTCAGTCTTCCCCAACCTCATGCCACTCTCTTTTCCCCTTTCCTCCCCAGTGCTCATATTTCTTCCTCTTTTTATGTTTCTTCAAATAAAGTTCACGTTGATCTTTTTCATTCATAATATTTGATTTACCTTTTCAGTTTAATTTAAAATATTAGAATTAAAAGCTATATATATATTTAATTCTATTTTTTCATTTATAATATACACTATCGATTTTCTTCATAATATCTATATTGATTTAAATATGAGAATTATATATGAGATATTATGGAACAAAAAAATAAGGATATGTGCAATGAAAGAAATAAATTAAAGAGACATTATGAAAAACCAACAGCATATATTTATATTTAATTCAATTGTTTTCATTCATAACATATGCTCTTGATTTTTTTTCATTCGTAAAATCAACGTAAAATTTATTTGAGGAAACATTCGAGAAGGAACAAAAATATGAGAGAGTTAGGGTGGGGGGAGGAGAGTGAGTGGTGTGAGGTGAGGGAAGAGAGATGTGTGGAGCGAGGGAGAGAGCAAGGGGGGGGGAGAGTTTTTAGAGAAGTGATGCAGGTGAGAGAGTATCAAGGATTCAAGCAGCATGCATTTAAAAAAAAAATCATGCATTTCAAAAAAAAAATTAAAATAATGGTGAGAGAAATGAGTGCCTGTAGATTGACATATGGGATAAAAACATTTAGGTTGTTATCATCTCATTGGTCAGAGCATGAATATAAGACTTTCTCGAGGAATAGTGGGTATCACCTAATATAGGTAAGACCCACCAATAAAATATTCTTCTTTCTTGTTTCACATGTTTTATTTTAATTATATACCTTTAAATAATACTACCTCTAGTTTTAATTATAAGACCTTGTTTATAGACTACAAACAAGGTCTTATAATTAGGACCAGAGGTAATAAATTTTTTAAAACATTTTGTCCCTGCTAACCTATGGATCTTGATGAATAGTCATAATTAGATGGCGCAGTCCGTTTTCTGCACCCAAAATGAAGAAGATGCACACAAGGTGGCATCAAATAATGACCAAACTCCTTCACCATGCTTCCAAAGAAGATATGTCACAAATAATATCAAGAACTGTCTCGGAGCATCTTTCAATTTCCCTTCAGACAGAAGAAGATAACGGTAAAAGAGTTTATTGAAAATTCCAAGATGTTAGTTTATAAAAGCATTGTTATTATTATACTTTTCATATATAACACTTGACATTTCAGGAATCACACACCATTTTTCACCTGCAATGATAAAATATATTGGGTATATTTTTGTGCCGAATAAAAAATCCTGCAATTATAAACTAATTTTGTGATTTGGACTGTGAATGGCATTGTTGGTGGATAGAGCTGGAGTCAATGCCCACACCAGCGTCTGGTACAATAACAATTGACACGCCCCTAATGATTGCTACCAAGAATGGGGTGACAGAAGTCGTGAAGGCAATTTTTGAATTGTTTCCGTCGACGTTTAAAGATGTGAATACCGAAGGAAAGAATATCTTTCTATTGGCTATAGAATATAGGCAAACAGATGTATACTGTTTTTTGTGTAAATGGAAATGGCTAAAGGAAAGTCTGTCCAGCCAAGTAGATAAGGAGGGAAACAATGCATTGCACTTGGCAGTGAGTCTCGAATTTGACCCTAATCGAGACATTGGGGAAGCATTCAGCATGCAAAGCGAACAGCTAAGATGGCTTTTTGTGGGTATCTAATGGATAAATTTAAAGCATATAAGTACTTCAAATATTTATTTGATATTAAAATATATAGACATGGTAAGCTGATGTTTGTATATATGGTGATGCAGTTAGTGATGAGGTCACTCCCCTATGATTTGTACACAAGATACAATAAAAAAATGGAGACCCCGAGAGACATCTTAGAAAAGAGTCGCAAGGAACTTATGAAAATCCAGCAAGAGTGGGTGGCTAAAACCTCACAAGCATGTTCCGTGGTGTCAAGCCTTGTTGTATCAGCAGCCTTCGCCACACGTACCAATGTACCAGGCGCTTATGATGAGAACGGCTATGCAATCCTTAGAAACAAGACACAAGCACTCAAAATTTTTAAAGATTCTTCATTGGTGGCCCTCTTCTGCTCTCTCATTTCCACCATCTGCTTCTTGTCTATAGTTGCTTCTCCTTCTCATCAATATTTTTATGCTCGTACGTTCGTTCCTTCCCGATTTTACTTTGCTTTGTACTTCATGTTCGCCTCCATTGTTTGTTTGTGGATCTCTTTCTGTGCCGGTGATTTCTTCTTGCTCCATGACAACACTCAAAAATTGCACAAGGCTCTTCCAACTTATATTTTGTTGTCATCGGTCTTCATCCTTATTGTTGGCTCACAGCTCCCCATATTCCTTGATCACAAATTGTCTCGGTTTTTGTGGCCCACTCCTGCCCCTAGAATCGCCCACATTTCTCCCATTCAGTACCGAAGAACCGAGAACAAGGAAAACGGACCAGATCTGAACCACCGAAATTAAGCCCATCTCTTGTATCATTCAAAGAACACCTACCTTCATCACTTCCATTGGAAAAGCTTTTGTGTGATTTGATGTTTTTATTTCTTTTCTATTTCTAACAATATGTGTTGGAGGCATACTCTCGCTCCATCACGTACTGTAGTTTGAGTTGTATTTTTTTTCAACCTCACTTATATTGCTTCCTCATTGGTGGCTTTTGGGGTTCTCATAATGATCATCTTGTCTTATTCAAATGTATGACTTACCCCTATTGAGTAATTTAATTAATTGGATCGATTAATTCAATAATTATATTGGGATAATTGACACTTGTAAATGTTGAGCGGATTTAAGTTGATGCGGGAAGTTTCACATTGAATAACACCGGGTTTAATCCTCCTAACTCTAGTACATGTGTTAATCAATATAATCTGATTAAAATATCCTATTGGAGTTTCTAATTTTTATGTACTACCTCCAATCATTAATATAAGAGCTAGTTTGATATTGAATTTGGTCCTAAATACAAGACCTAATCTATTTTATTTCTCATATTTATCCATTTTTCTTAAAGTAATTCTTGTAGTAGTCGCACATGTTAAATGTTTCATCAAATCCTAATTCTAGCTATTACACATGATTAGCAAGGGTATTTTAAGAAAGACAACACTTATTTATTATAAATAACTGATTTAACTAATTTTTTTAATCTACTCAAATTAATTACATGGCTCTTATATTAAGAATCGAGAGTAGTATTACATTGTTTAGAATAGAATAATTATTTTCTTAAAATCTCATGTTATTTTGGAATTTTTCGGAAGGACACTTTAGTCTTTCAATGGAATTACATTAGGAACAAATACAAGTGTCTAATCTCCCCAAACTCTAGTATGCATGCTAATCAACATAATCTGATTATTAAAATAACTTATTGCAGTTTCTAATGATTTTTATATTGATTTACATGTGAATAACACACATTACATTAGTTAGAATATGAGAGTTATTTAATGTAATTCTTCAAATCCCATGATATTTTAGAAATTTTTGGAAGGACACTTCAGTGAATTACATTGGTTTTATATTCTTGACTAAAGTGTATGTTTGAACAGCTAAATTTAAATTAAGTATTAGTTTAATCTCTTAAGTTTATAAACTTTATTTTCAATACCTTATTTTTAACACTGTTATGAATCGCATTAATGGAAAATATCGACTAAGCAAATTTAAAATTTGTAAATTGAAGAATATTTAGAATGAAAGATCACGAATGTGTGGCTTACTCTAAACTTTCAACACCAGCAGCTCGGATCTCTGCGAATTATTCTACGCCTTTCACACCAACAACTCAACCCATTTAACATCAAGCCGTAAGTCTTAATTTAATTTTAAAATACAAAAATATAATACTAAAGGATGAAAATATTAAAATATAAAGTATTTAAAATCTTTCAGAAGCGTTATTTTAACTTTAAAATATAGAAATATTAGTGTGTTAAAATTTAAGCATGCATTGAGTGTAGATCTCTGTTTAAATTCGATGCGTCAATCATCTTCAAAGAACCTGTATCTAATTAAAAGGAATCTGCGCCATTTTGAAAGTATTTTTTCTTTGAAAAAACATAAAAAAACTAAAAACTGCCATTTTTTATTTATAATATATCAAAATTTCACTCATTTTGTCCAGAATCTAACGATAAAAAACAAGAAGGCTTATCTTTGGCTTGACCTTCTTGTTCTTGGCCGTTGCCAACATTTGGCTCTCTTTCTGTGCTTGATAAACACTTCCATAAAAGTTATCTTATTGTTTATATCTTAGCTTCAGTTCTTATCACTGTTTTTGTTTTGGAACAGTTCCATCCCCTAGCCATAGGGCCGCCCCTGCCATTGAGTACGCCATTAAGAAAATGGAAGAAAATAAAGTTCCCACAGATTGAAACATAATGTTCAAACAAGGACCCGTCATCATCAGCCTTTATTTTTAGAACATTGTCTGTGATTAATTTGATATGATGACCATTTCACTTCAAAGTTCAAATGTCGACAGATATCATTCGCAAGAACCGAACGGCCTAAAAAAAAAAAGTCAAAAAAATATAGATAGCCCAACAGCTACGGTCGGTCCTTCTTTACTCTTTTGCTGCAAGGTTATGTTGGTCCATTAATTAAACGTTTCAAGCAATTTGGAAGCGCTTTGTTAGGATTTGAGGATCAAGCTAAGTTGATTCAAAAATACATTATGGAAATCAAAGGATACCAAATGGAGGCAAAACCATGGATAAACCACGTCATTTGAGGCAGAAGAAGTCATTTTCCAGTTTGCAAAGTAATATACTGTATCCTCTTTATATATATATATATATATATATATATATATTTATATACGTATGTATATTAATTCATCACAAACTATTGTAAGCGAGGACATGAGGAATGCTCGGCAAAGTCATATTGTTTCCTATTTTTCCTTTATAAAGGACTTACATAGCTTCAAAATAAGTCTAGGAGCATCTCATTAGGATAAGTGTGTCCCAAGATGCGAATTTTCAAAATTAAGCTAAAAGATCTTTAAAATTGGAAAGAGAAACGGGGCAGTGTATCTGAACAATTAAATTAGATGGCACATGTGAGGTCCGGTTTCATATTTGTCACGGAGAGATGGCTCCTTGAGTTTTAAAAATGGACAAGAATGAGCTCAATACTATATTTTTAAGTATATGCTATGAATTTTAAAATTTATCTAAAATACTATGCCGTGGCCGAACTGTTTTGCGCTGCGGCCAGGTTTGTTTGAATCTGGCTGCAGCTCAAATATGGTAGTGAAATGCAGCTCATTTTATCTCTGGAAAATGAGTTATTTGGCCTCAAATGACATCTTTCATCGATGGTTTTGTCCCCATTTGGTCTTCTTTGATTTCCATAATATATTTTTGAATCAACCTCAGCTTGATCCTCAAATCCTAACAAAGCACTTCCAAGTTGCTTGAAACGTTTAATTATTGGACCAAGATAACCTTGCAGCAAAATTAAAAATATTGTTTACCTTTTCCCTATATTAATTAAATACACCATGCCTTTGTATATAAACTAATAAAAAACCATTATTGACCACTCAGTAAAGAAAGAACGGTGGCTTAGGAAGTCTTAGAAACTGGATGTGATTTCTTCTTTTCGTTTGTTTTGTATTTTGTAGTTGCGTTCTTTTGGTTGTAGAACTGGTTGTGCATCTTTTGCATTAATGAATGTTTATTTCTTGTTAGTAAAAAGACAAAGAAAGAAAGAAGAAAACGATGGCCCAAAAACAAGTAAGAAGCACTACCATTAAAATAAACTTTTATGATAATCTTAAAAATGGAAAATCATCTCCCTATCTTTAATTAAACCAATAAGAAAAAACATGATTAGCTGGATTCTAGGAAAAGGGCTGGGCAGTTGGCAAAAAACAAAAAGGAAAAGGGCTGGCCAATTTTTTTTTTTTCAAAACACCATTTATCAATTTTTTAGAAGATGGAAAGTAGAGAAAGATACACCTTGCAAGAAACGCACAAATGCTCATGCTATTATATTCAAAAATCCCGCACACAATAATATAAGATTTAGACACTCAACAGTATTTTTTTTTATAAAAAAAATGCAATGCTCATTTGCAACTCATTAAACTATAAATCTATTCTAACAAAAATGAAATATATAAATATGTGGTTGTTTATATTAACAATTTTAGAAGTCATGTTTGTATTAACCTTGGGTCTTGTCCCATTTTCATAAATTAGAACTATAAACTATATTCTGTATTTCCCAATCACATCATTTTAATTTAACTTGAACGGGTTAAAATTATTTGTCTTTTTTATAAAAAAATTTGGGTAAAATTATATTAATTTGAATGTACGGCAAGATTCGAACTATACATATTGGATCATTAACAGTTATGTATGTATATATATAATATGCATCTGACCTGTTTGTTTGGAACTTTGAAGGGATTTTAAAAGCTCAGGAGAAGAATCAGGCCACGACGTTCGAAGAATTGCCAAAAAGTAAGTATTCTTTACATGTTACTCCCCAGCTATTTTCTTTTGATCGCAACAAATTGTAAATGTGCATTTATGTGAACTACCATTAGCTTAAATATGAAACTGTGATATTAGGAAGAAATAAGATATAGGAAAAAGTAGACATTAAATCTACTACTCATATAATGCTAATTTTTCAATCGGACTACAGGTGTTTATTATTCACATGACGCAAATTTATAACAAAAATGGTTAACAATATTTATTATTCACACAGCATAAATATATAAATGGAACAATGAAACTTTATTATTAATAGTTCTTAAAAATAAAAGATTTGTGAATTTGATATTTTCTAAAGGTACCCCAAGTCAATGAGCATGTAGCTGCGTATAGGTATAGTTTTTGTGATAACAAAAATATACTATCTTTCGGTCCTTAATATAAAAACTAGATAATTGATTTACAAATATTAAAAAAATTAGTTAAATTAGTTATTTATAATAAATAAATGTTGTCCTTCCTAAAATACCCCATCTATAATGTACAATGAAACTACCCTTTGATGAAAACCCCCTAACATATGCAATCATCAAAAAGATTACTTGATGGTAAAATGGATAAATATTATAAATGAAATAGATTGGAATCTTATATTTAAGACCAAATTAAATATCTAATTAGCTTTTATATTAAAAACCAGAGGTAGTACTAAATTACTACTTTTGGTATTAAATATAAGAGCCATTTGGCAGTACAAGTGGATCTATATGTAAGATAAGAGGTAGAGTGACAAGACACTAAAATTATGTGTCTTGCTTAATATTTGCAGATAATCAAGCAAATATTTTGGCCATCAAGTTTATGGACATTATGATGATGCCCCCGTTCTCATATTTTGAAGCAGGTAGGCCACGCCATTGCAGTTTATTTAATGAAAATCATATACATATATAGACACACTGATATAATTTGTATTCCTAAATGATTAATTCGGAATAACGTGCATGCTATATATGTATCTCTATCTGCTGCATATTCCTGACATTGGCAGACCTCTACATATAATTATACATATGTGAAAAAACTCAAATTTTTTGATGCATGTGTGTATATGTTAAATTGATGATGGTGGTGGTGGTGTGCTCCCTTCTAATTAGGATTTTGTACCGATCTAAAATGAAAATATCTGATTTTATTAATTATATATACAATTATAAATTGGTTTTAAATAACAATTTCTTTAATCATTTTGTCCCTACTGACTCAGGGGTCTTTAATATTCCTAGGGAAATGGCTCAAGATGAGGAAAATGAAGAAAGAGCACATATGGTCGCTTCCAATAATGAATGAACTTCTTCAGCATGCTTCTGATCGAGACATGTCACAAATAATATCAAGAACTACATCTGAGCAGCTCTCAATTTCCCAACAAACAGAAATGGATAATGGTAAAATGATTCATCAAAACCCCAAGATGTTACTCTCTCCATAGCTTATTATAAGAAACAACTATCAAAATCATATAGTTCAAAGTATTAGTTAAATTTAGTTAAAAACAATAAATATATAAGATATATACAAAATTTTTCCATTATACCCTTATTTGTAAAAAGAATATATGAGAGATAATAAGTAAAAATGTATTATAGTAAGATAATAAGGGACATATATTTAATAGGAATAAAAATAAAAATATTAGTTTAAAATTTCAGAAAGAGAATGTGTTTCTTATATTTAGGGACACTACTATGAGAGAGATTGTTTCTTATAAAAAAAAAAAGGAGGAGTAATTAGTTACATAGATAAGGCTAGACCAAACTCGACTGCAGTTTTCTTGCATGGTTATTTACGAACATGCTGTGACGCTACGGCCTCAAGACTCTAATACTCTCAGCCACCACTCTTCCATTCATTCCGTTCTCATCCATAATATATATACTCATTGTTCCGAAAAAATATATATTCTCTTGCAATGATAGTGGCGTGCGTGGGTATCATTTTAAAAAAATATCTTGTAATTATAAACTAATTTTGTGGTTGGGACTGTGAATGGAACTAGCAGATAAAGTCAGAGTTTGGTGCAATAACAATTGAGACACCCCTACTGATTGCTGCAAAGAATGGTATAAGAGAAATGGTGGAAATAATTCTAGAATTATTTCCAGATTGGAGATGTGAACGTTGAGGGAAAAAAAACATACTTCTCCTAGTAATAGAATATAGGCAGGTGGAGGTATTTAGGTTTTTGAACAAACAGAAACGGTTACGTGAAAGTCTACAGGGGCAAGTAGATAAAGACGGAAATAATGCATTGCACTTTATAGCAAGGCTTGGAGTCGAGCTTGATTGGCCCAATCCTAAGAGAACACTCTCCATGCCAAAGGAAATCTACTGGTTTGAGATGCGTATCTATCTATTTGTTACTAATTTTTCTTTTTATTACTAATGAGCTCAACTCAAAAATTAAAATACTTATCAATAAATTGTACAGTTTTTGAAGAGGTCGATGCCGTGTGGTCTGTTGGACAGATACAATAGGAAAATGGAGACACTGGACGACATCTTCGGAAAGAATCACAAAGAACTTATAAAAAGTGAGGCAGAGTTGGTGGCTAAAACATCACAAGCATGTTCTTTGGTGTCAACCCTAGTTATGTCGGTGGCCTTCGCCGCACACACCAATGTGCGACGTGGTTTTGACAATGACAAGGGCTATACAATCCTTAGAAACAAGTCAGAATTCAAATGTTTTGCAAACTTTTCATTTTTGGCCCTCTACCTCTCCCTCATTTCCACCATCTACTTCCTCTCTATAGTTGCTTCTGGTAATATCTTAATTTTCTATGTCATATGGGTCAATTTATGATAACTTCAAAACACTACGCCATGTTTGATCCTAGAAATATAATACTCTTGCAGAAATTTTCTTGTAAACTTTCCAGTATATAGGGTTCGATAATATAGTAAGTTAATAATATTACTAACCTACCACCACAGCCATTAAAGCAAATGGCACTCATCTACAACTTCAAGGTTTCTCTTTATAGAGGAATTTATATTCCATAAGCTCATATATAATTATATATTTACGTATTTATATACAATAAGTGGTAGCCATACTCGACTAATAAAAAAATTATAAGTTCAAACTGTAAAAGCATAAACCAATGACCAACTATACAAATAATTTTTTTTTCCAACCTTCTCAATTCCCTGCAATCACCACACTCTTGCCCTTCGAGCCACTTGCCTTTGCTGTACGGCATGGAAGGAAAGGAGTGAGTGACAAACTCAATTATTTTTATATATTTTGATATCTTTTATATGGGTTTTGTCAACTTAATTAGTCTTTTTGGCCTTAATTTATTGTTAATGGATTTAATATGTTTTATTTTGAATTATTATTTTATAGGGGCAAAATTGTCATATTTTGGTTTAATTATGACTAATTGATTTTTGAGGACAATTAATGCTACCTTATCCTTGAATTTTGCTTGCAGGTTCTTAGAAGATTCAAAAATAAAAAAAGAAAAGAAAAAGGAAAAAAATTAAATTAAAAAATAATAATAATAAGGTGGATGTTTTGCCCCAACCTAATATTCATCTTCTTCATGCGGGAAGAACGGCCGAGCGAGCTGGAGGCGGACAGAGGAGCTGAGACGAAAACAGAGGAGAGGCGCAAGCGAGCTGGGCGGCGAGCGAGGGGACCATTCATCATCTTCTCCGTTGAATCTTACTGGTGGCAGAGAGAATCAGTGACGGGGGACACCAACCAGCGAGCACAAAACAAGCTGAACACGGAAGGCGAGCTGGACGGCGCTGAGGAAGAACAGGACGCGAGGAGAGAGAGTGGAGTGAATGGAGTGACGGCGTGAGAGGACCTGTGTGACGCTGGCGATCACCTCTAGATTCCGTTTCTTCACCTCCACTGATTCTAATCATCATCTTCCATATTCACCGAAATCCACCATCACCATTGCGTTAATCTTCTTCTTCTCGACTAAACAGAACGAAGGACCAGAGGAGGCAGAGCGAGTCATCGACTTATAGTGTTCACAGCCGGTGAACTCTGTCTGATTCCCCATCAAATTTCATCATCATCTTCGGTTGTTTTTCTTCAGTTCCTCACTGTTCTATCATTGTCTTCGGTGTCTTTTTGGTTCTTCCAATAGCTTCTTCCTTGTTCTTCATGGCTGGACATAGTAGACTATTGGAGGCAATATTTCTCATGGGAAATCGAGCCTAGCTTTACAATTCTGTAATTCAACAATAATGGCAGGAGCTTGGATCATCAAAGAGGAGTTTTAGTTGCTTTAATTTCCTATCTAATAATTGTTTAACAATTCCTAGGTCTTAGGATAGTTATTCTGATTATTAGAAAATTTTGTATTGTTAAATATGATTATTTGTGGAGATTTCTGTGGCTGGATTATTGTTTAGCATTTGACATTGGGTTGTTTATAGCTTTGATTTCAATTATGATGTTGTGGTTATGACATTTATATTGACTTTTGGAGTTAATATATTGTGATTTTCTAAGGTGGCTTGGAATTTTGGATCATATTGTCCTTGCTAGCTTTAATTCTATTATTTTGTATTTAAGAATTTTAATTAAGCATTAGTTTTTAGCATCCTTAATTCTATTTGACTATTCTGGTTGCAGTTAGTAAATTAGGATTTTGGAAAAATATTCCATGGCAATTCGAGGTGGCTCGGTTGTTGGATTAAAAGCTTGATTATAATTCTTAATTCATTGTTTTAACTCCCGTATCTTTTAGAGTGAGGATTGCCTGCGTTGTTGAATTGGAGAATTGATTTTTATCATTGTTATTTGTGTGTCTCATTTTCATTTCTTTAATCTTCATTCATTTTAATTATTTTTATATAAAAACAAAAAAAAATTTTAATTTCAATTTAATTCAAGGTGTTTACTTAGCAATTATCAAATCAAAAATCCTTTTTATAGTTAGATTACTTGCATTTATTTACTAGGATTTAATTTCATTTTCGGCTCCTCAAAGTGAAACGACCCGAGTTTTGCACTATATTGCACTAATTCGGTTAATTTTTGGAGTAACCCCAAAGCGACAAATTAAGGGCAAGTATACTTTAGTAAGATTCTAAGAATCACAGTAGTAACAACAGTCTATCATGCACATATACGGGTTCACAAAGCATGCAAAACAAGCCATATAATATGTACTTAGCATATCAACATAACTAGTAAGATTCACACAACATATACAGTTCATTATAGATCACACAACTCTGGTACTCGCGCAAAATACGAGTTTTAGGGAACCCGCAGTTCTAGTATTCACACAACATGAGTTCAAGGAAACACAATTCCAATATTGATACAGAATACGAGTTTTAGGGAACCCACAGTTCCAATATTCACACAGAATACTAGTTTAAGACAACACATAGTTCTAATATTCACACAAAATATGAGTTTAAGAGAATACACAATTCCAGTATTCACACAAGACACGGAACACACAGTGCCACTATTTACACAGATTGTGAGTTTCCATCATTCATAATCAAGTGCATAGCTCCTGTAGTCAAAACCATCATTCATAATTGAGCACACAGTTCCTGTAGTCAAAACCACCATTTATACTTGAGCACACAGCTCTTGTAATCAAAACCACCCTTCATAATCAAGCACACAACTACCTTAATCAGAACTGCAATTCACAATCGAGGACACAACTCTCGTAATCAAAACCACCATTCATAATCAAGAACATAGCTCCCATAATGAAAACCACCTTTCATAATAGAGCACCCAGCTCCTGTAATCGAAACCACCATTTGTAATCAAGCACACAGCTCCCATAATCAAAACCACCATTCATCGAACACACAACTCCCGTAATCAAACCACCATTCATAATCAAGCACATAGCTCCCATAATCAAAACCACCATATATTCATTAAAGAATATAGGCACTATGACACAAACAGATATGCAGAACTATTGCATAAGCATATGAGAGAAAGAGTTACTACCTGAAGTCCTTTCTTCCTATTTACCTTTTCTAGATTTCTTCTTTTCTTGCTCTCTTGGCATGCTCGTGCAGATATTGAATCCTATAATATGATTTCACATATGAATCAGTTAATGCTTAGTCCATTTAGCTTCTATTATCCAAACTATAACTTCTCTTGACCTATTAATGAACTTCATTTCTTTTTGTTTAATAGTTGGTCATCATGGAAAAGAAATTATATATAATATATATCCATAAAACTCAAATATAGTTAACCATATAACTAATCAAACAGTAAGCGTTCTTCTCCATTTCTCACTCTAGCTCTCAAACAATTCAAATTATTTAAGTCTCTCCTTCAACTTTAAATCAATTATTAACTTTTATAATCAATTGGCTTAGCCGTTGAGTTCATCAATAAATAGTAGAAGTTTAATTAATCTCCACGGCAAACCTCCCATACCGAAACATCAATCAACAATTTTGTTTCTTCATCTTTAAATTTAAATTCCAGATTTAAAGCTCACACAAACCACATCAAGAGCCCTCAATTTGATTAGCAAATGTAGCTATATATCCATAACTTCCTTCTTTCCCATGTATCTCACGCCATTCATATATATATATATATATATATATATATATATTGTTTTGCTTTCACTTATTTCCCTTTGATAGGGAAAAAAAAAACTTCTATATATTCTCACTATTTCAGATTCTAAAATTCCAGCTCCCACGGTCAAACAGTCAAGCAATTATATATATATATATATATATATATTTCATTAACCCCTTCTTCATTCACACCCAAAACTCAACGCCATGCTCTAGATTCATCGGACCCCTGTTTTGGTAGCTCACAACCCAGAATGATTACGCAACATGCAACCAAGAAAACATGCTTCTTCTGGCCTTTTATCAGTGGACCCGGCGACCATAATCAGAATAAAGCAAGCTTAGTTCGATTATTTCCTTGTTCCTTAACTTCTCTCTCTAAAACAGATTTCCATCCCACACACCTCACCCAAAAACGCAGCCACAGAAAGAAATAAGGATGGAATGGTGCTTAGGAGGCTTACCTTGATCAAGATCGCCGGTTGCATGCAAGGAAAATGCCCTTCGATTAACTTCTTCTTCTTCTTCGCTCCCTCTCGTTTTTCTCGGTCTCTCTCTCTCTCTCTAATTTCTCTGGTCTGATCGAAATGGAGGCGAAGGAGGAGTTTCAGATGAGTTAAATGAGAGAAAAGACCATTTTACTCTTCTAACCTTTTTATTTCCAATTTCATCCTTTCACTAAATTTCTGAAATCATGGAATAAATCCACAAATTTAACCACAATGTTTTGTTTGGATTTTCCTTCTCCATTATTTTCTTTGACCCGTAAAATAATTTCTCTAAAAATTTTGGGCCAAAAATTAACTCCTAACTATTTTTTTTTGAATTTTCCAAGAAAATAACCCTTAATTCAATATATTAATCCTTAATTTATTTTAAGGATTTTATGCCTCAATTAGCTTCTTTACATCATAAAATAATTATCCTACAATGTTTAGCTTAGATATAAATATCTAACTATCTTCCTTAAATTTTCAAGAAGATAGGTCCTTTTAACCACCGAAATTAACTTTAAAATTATTTAAGTCATTTTGGCCAAAATAAAATTTTCCACAAAATCTCTAAGTCCCTGAAATTAATGTTCCATAATTTTTTCCAAATTTTCCTAAGCTTTAAATAATTTTAATAAATTTTTTTTGCTACTTTTCCTGAATCTGAAAATTTGAGGTGTTACATTTGTCATTCCCGAGTTTTACTCTGGTCATACTTGTCTTTCAAATTTTACATTGGTATATCCTTCATGTTCATCTCCATTGTTTTTTTGTCGATCTCTTTCTGTGCTGCTGATTTCTTCATGCTCGATGTCACTCTTCAAACATTGCATTACTTTCTTAGAAATTATATGCCTTCTTCATTGATGATCATCCTTTTGGTTGTTGTACAGGTCCCAACATTCCTCCGTCCCATATTTCCTCAGATCTCACATTTTCCCACCTATAGATACAGGGCCACTCTTCCCATTGAGTATCGAAGGACCAAGAACGAGGAAAACGGTAGAGAATTAAGACACCAAAATTAAGTGATTGTCGGTTTGTATTATTCAAACAACACTACCGTTCATCACTTTTACTTTAAAAGCTTTTGTGTCTTATTTGATGTTTTTATTTCTTCTGTTTGCAGTAATGTGTGTAAGCATGCTCTCGATCCAGCTATTATACTAACTATGATAAATTATAAATGCTGATTAATTTAATTTTAATGATTTAGATTTAAAATATATTTAAATCAATTTTTTGTCATGTTTTATATTTTAATTACTTAATCATGTATTCTTAAGAACTATTTATTAATAATGTAAACTCTTACGAATTTATGATCCGAGTTCACGATTCAAGTTTACCTTCTTACCGCGAGTTATATTACATTATATTAACTCATGTTACTTTAAATGAGATAGCCTTAAACTCTCATATATAAGAGAACAATTAAAGTTTTTTTTAAAAGCGAATAGACAAAACTTTATGCCATTTGTACTAGATGCCTTCAACAATCTGAAGTGTGCAAGCTGATTGATTTCCTTTATAAAATTAGGGAACAATCAGTAATATGAATGCGAAAATGAATAGCATTTCATATATACTACTATAAAACATTAATCGCTATAAATCATACCTATTTAAATTAATGAAAATATATTTATTCAATCAATTATTATAAATAATAAGCATGACATGTGGTGTTTATTTAACCGTTGGTAATAAGAGCAAATGAAATTATAATCATAACTCGATTGTACAAAAAATTCAAAATCATGTGATTGGAAAATATTAATTTCAGATATTGATCCATCCCTTCATCGCGGGGCCATCCCTTAAACGACGGCCAAAAAGTAAGGGCACAGTCTTATTATCATGTTTATTGAAAACATGGCAATAAAGTAAAATTTTAACAATTAATATAAAATAAAAATCCGTGCTGCATATAAACTATATATAAACAGTAAGCTCCTCTCAGTCATCAAAATTTTCAATTATTTCAAAAAAAATTTATTTACTGGACTCTACAATTTTTTTAATCCTTCCAATCATCTTTCAATTTTTTTAGTATTCAATCTTTTTTTGGATAATGACGTCTGTCATGACTATCCTTTATATACCAATAGAGTTATTTGATTTAATCTTGAATCATTAAAAGCCAGGTTCCAATTCTGGGGAAGACAATTTTTTTTTCACAGTTCCCAAACACAAAGTCTGATTCTGTTCCTCAAGGAACGAGATTTTCTGAAAAGTTGAAGACTTTTCAAAAATTCGCATTCAAAGTAACCTGTCTAGTGGTTTGAGTATCTGATTTAACTTTTTTACAAAAATGGTAAAAACTGTCTAATACCCATGGTTCATATTCAACCATCGAACCCATTCTTCCATCCAGCCTTTTGGATCCTATATCAAATAAATTATAGCTACTAGGATCTAACATTCAATATTCTAGCCATTGGCTCATACAACGAGTTACATATACAGATACACATAATTTTAGACAAAATAATAACTATATATCAAAATATTGATCATTTCCTTCAATAACAGTTATCATGGTTTATCTGCCCTTAGCCATCTCCTTATGGAGGAATATTTACATACCAAAATAGATATACAATATATCTTTACTTCAAAATAAGATGCATTTTAAGCAAAATATATATATACAAAAGATCGCCAGCTTCCTTTCAAACTCCACCGATCACTACTCCCTTGCCTTTAGGAGTATTTGCTCTTGCTGTATTACATGGAAGAAGGGATGAGATTCTAAAGAATCTCAGTAGTAACAAATTTCCTTCGCGTAATCATACAAGATCACAAACAACATGCTACACAGGCCAAAGAGAACACTCCAAATATAATCAATGATGCACATACACCATACACCCATATAGCCAATCGCTATCTATTGCACCCACATTCCAAAATAAATGGAAACCAGCACATATTGTCATGACAAATATTATCATGCAAAGGCAAGTTACATGTTCTCATGCAAAATCAGCATAAAAGCATACCCAAGCATGTGGCAATCAATGCACAATCACATTAAAGGAAAAGAGTGACTACTTTTTGCTTTTTCTTCCCTACTCCCTTCCCTTGGTCTCCTTCTTGGCTCCTTTCTTAATGGATTCAAACAAATATCAAATCCTATAAATTATTTGAGCAAGGACAGATTAATATATATCTAGATATTCATCTAGAGCGTTACGTGAACACATTAACACATTCCTTATAATTTAAATCCTTTATGATCATTTTTACGGGGCATCACATTTAACTTCCATCCTCTTAAGACTCCTATTTGACATACATATCTATAACATAACATTTATATAAGCCTATAAACTTCCTATTTAAACATTTTGCATTTAGACACCCCAAACACCTACCATAATTCGAACAGCACCATTCTGCCATTGTTTCTAAATTTTTCCAGCATCAATCTTCAACTAAAACATTATTTTTATTCCTCATTATATATATATATATATATATATATATTTATTCACCCTCTACACCATTCCTTCAAAAATTCCAGATTGCTCTATCAATCAGGTATACATAATTAATACCATGGGATTTAGTTTCATCCCTCAAGTTATAACATCAACGTTGCTGAGATAAACACCAAACACATACATACATATCATGCTTTAATTAGGTCCCAATCTCAACAATTTCCTTCACTCATGAAAATTCTAGATTTTGGCATTACTTTTCCATTTTAACTCCAAGAAAATCTGTTCACTATAATTCAGAACGTGGAGCCAAAACCAAAAGAATATATAAAGAGCCCAATTCTTTCTCCCAATGCTCCGGTCTCAAAAGGCTTTGTTATAAATATATATAATTATAGCTCATGCGTTTAGCATTCAAATGCTTCTTGACCAGCAAAATCAAACAGTGGCCTTCCATCATTAAGTCTGGAATTTTCCTCATTCAAAGCACACCATCTCCAATCCCTCAATAACTACACAGAGCATATAAAATCAACATATTATAATCATACAACCAGAAAATAATTAGTAATATTTAGACTTGTTAATCATCTATTACCCAAACCAGAAGCCATTTCCTTAAATCCTCAAACCCCTGTTTCAGAAATTATAACCAGAGCAATCAACCGTAAAAAGCAAGTGCAGAAATCTCAACCACAAACTTCATTCTAACCATTCAGCATGATTTTCATAGCTTGGTTGTCATACTCTTCACTTTCTCCCTCAAAATCCAGATTTCATCTTCATCATCGCCTTGCAACGCATGACCAAATAACAGAAAACAAAGATGGAAGAAGATTCATGAGACTCACCTTGTTTGATTTCCACTTTGGTATAAATCGATTCCCTCCTCCGATTACCTTTGCTCTTCTTGATCTCTCTCGAAGTCTCTCAACTCTCTCTCTGTTTTCCCTTCGAATACCAGAGCAAAATGAGAAGGGAGTATGTGTTAGGGCGTATTAGAGGGATGCGGGATGTGACCCTTTGGTCTTCATTTTCCCTTCAATTTAATCCTTCTCTGCGTTTTTTTTTTGGATAATCAAATAATTCCAGAAATCACACTTCGATATCTATATGAATTTTCTTCTTCCATTAGCTTCTTTAGTCCAAAAAAATAATTATCCTAAAAATCTCAGCTTAAAAATTATCCTCTAACTATTTTTCTTTGAATTTTCTAAGAAAATAGGCCTAAATTCCTGAAATTAACTTTATAATTATTCAGACCATATTTGAAAGGTCTTAATCTCAATAATTTCTCTAAAAATTTCTCCTTCATCATGCTTTACTCAAATCCATAAAATTTGGGATATTACAACGTCCGTCCAATTTATATTTAATGCATCGTTTGTTTAATTTGTAAAGTAAAGAGGAGCTAAAAAGTAACACCAAAGCGAAAGAATAAATTTAAAAATTGAAATTTAATTTTATATGCTTAATCACAATAAAATATAAAACCATCATTAAGTCTACGTTGCACTTTCGATTCCTGTACGGTAAATTCGAATAGGCCAATAGCAAGCAACGGCTGTCTCTAATTTTTGCTTCCAAGTTTCGGTATATAGTATTCCACTTGCTTTTCTGCTTCTTTCATCATTTCTTTACGCAGATCAAATGTTCCATCCCATGATGCACGCGGAAGAAAAGCATAAGATACAATTCTTCAAATCATGATTTCATAAGATGTGTTGGTTTTTTTCTTTCTCTGTTTCATTTCCATCTCTCTCAACGTGTTGCCGTAACTGGAGATTCCGTTGCTTTATTTAATCTGCAATGGGAAGTTTCCGCTTGCTAAAGCTGGATATTTCACACACACACACACACACATTCCTCCAGTCATTAATATGATACCTAATTGTTGTGTTGATTTTGGTCCTAAATATAAAACATCTTTCTCATATTTATCAATTTTTTCTAAATTACCCCTATGGATCTCCCTCAATTATAATCAAGTAGAATAAGGAGATAGGATATTAAGGAAGATGATTGTGGTGTTTTAAGAAAACCATGTCATATTTTTTAATAATTAACTAATTTACTTAACTTTCTTAATCTAATCAAAGTAATTAAATGTCTTGTATTAAGGACCGGAGGAGTATATAATGTAAGACCAGATCTTTTTCGGCCTCCATAAATTAAAAATTACTATCTCCTGCGGAATCTGATGTGAAATATTCGGTTGAATGTTTTCTATGCTGTTTGCTTATAGTTTCTCCCGTGGGGTTGAGGTACGATGACTTACTGAATACAGAAAGCACAGCACTGATGGATCCTGCGGGAATCAGATATCAAATAATAATATGATGGGAAACTTTAGACTTCATTTAATACTCCTCTGATCTTTAATATAGGATCTAATTGTTGAGTTAATTTTTTTCCAAATATAAGACTTATTTTTCATATTTATCAATTTTTTCTAAATTACTTCTATAGATACTACCTTAACCATAATCAAGTAGAAGAGAAAGGGAGAATATTAAGAAAGATGATTATGGTGTTTCAGTAAAAACATATCATATTTCTTATAATTAACTAACTTACCTAACTTCATTAATCTAATCAAATTAGTTAAATAGGTCTTATATTAAGGACTTGAGGAGTATTGTTAATATTTTATAATTTGTAGTTTTCAACGTGGAACTCATTTATGTTCAAACTTGTCCATGATGTTTCAACTTTCTCTTTCCTTCATCACATTCAATGGTAAGAATGGGAATAACTTGATGCCCGAGCAAACCCGCATGCCCCAAAAGTCACACACACACACACACACACATTATACATACATATATGTGTGTGTGTGACACATATTTTATGCATCCATTGAATTCAATTGTGTAGGAGATAAATTGCAGCAGGCGACCACATGGAGAATTGGAAGGACAACAAGAACGACCTATTTCGTAATGCCATGGAAAACCAGTGGTCGGAAGTATTTAAAACGCTCGAGGAAGACAGGGGGCTTCGCACGGCCAAGGTTACCGCGACAGGGGACACTGTGCTTCACATGGCAATGTATGCTCTGGACGAGACGGTGGTGGTGGCCGCGATGGTGGACTTAGTTCTGGAAGATGAAGAGAGTAGTGAGAGGAGCTACGTCCTTGAGGCTGCGAATGTGAAAGGTAACACTCCTCTGCATTTAGCAGCCTCAATTGGAAACATTGAAATGTGCAAGAAGATTGGAGGTGTTAATCCCTCCTTAATTGCTAAACGCAATAAAGCCGGCGAGACACCCCTCTTCCTGGCAGCTCTCCACGGCCACAGAAAAGCTTTTCTTTGGCTTCATTATCAGTATATGGAAACTGGAGTCTCTTCAACCGAATATGCTCACTGTATAAGGGACAACCACGATACCATTCTACATTGTGCAATTGCAGAAGAACATCTGGGTACATTGAGGCTGATGATGCTATTTTTTGTTTTTCACCCATTTAGTGGCATAAGAATGTTGTTATGTTCTGCTTTTGCTGTTTTAATTAGTTTACTATGTTGGATCGATGCATTTTCTTTTCTTATTTTGAGCAGATGTGGCCATCGAAATAATTCATCTTTATAAAGATCTCGTGAAACAGAGCTTTTTCAATGACGAAGGGTTGTCTCCACTCCATCTACTGGCAGAAAAGCCTTCAGCTTTCAAAAGTGGTGCCCTCCTTGGTCGGCCATTTGGACATCTCGCGTATTATCGTAAGTACTATAAATATTCATACCTTTTTTCCTCCCCTAAATTCTCTACTACATATCAATATAAATATGTAACATGGGATTCGTTTTGGTGGAAATCTGAAGTTTTGGGCGATATGACAAAGAATAAGGCCACGACGAAGGAAGAATTAGAGAAGGAAGAACATAAATCGTGCGTCATGGCTCTCAAGGATGCGGTCCAAAAGTGGATTAGAAATAGTAATTACCTTTTGCATGAACCTTCCCTACCTATTTTCTTTGATTTTTTTTTCTCTTTTAAAAAATTGACTTGAGGCTTGCTTGAGCCTAGGCAGGCCTCACAGTTTAAAAAACACTTGCAAAGATATACTTACAAACTAATGACTAACGAGAGCATTATATTGATATTTAATTATAAATTTTCATGATGTTCACTGCAGATTTTTTGTTTGTAAAAAGGCCCTTTTAATTTTCTTGTAGTTAGTTTACTGTGCTCACAATACTGGTGATTTTTTTTTTAATTTCAGTCAAACACATTCTTTATTCTCATCTATATGTATATGTATATGTATATCAACCACATAAAAATTCTCTATGACTGTCGTGTTTATTACAGAAGGAAAAGAATATAAAAAGATCAAGTTTTTCAAGTCCACAATTTGGGTCCTGCAACACTTTGAACTAGGTACGCAACCTCTCTTAGCTCGCAATATGTAGAGTCCGTGTATGGTTTATTCTAAGTCCAACGATGCTCTATTCTAGTGTCCCGTTCCAGTCATTTTGGGATAGGATAATCCCATCTTAAAAATTTTTGAAGCAAGACCAAATAGGATAGGACAAATTGTTTCGAAATGTGACAGGTGTCTCATCCTAGTATATTATATTTTTTAATTTTATAAATTTATGTTACCTATCATTTATTGCTTTGGTTATGTCGTTTATAAGTTTTTCTAGATGGATTATATGTTTTTGTGTACTGCCAAAATTTTAGCCAATTTTTATCTATTTTCTTTCTATAGTTTTTATCATGAAACTTTATACCATATGTATGACAGGGCTTCAAATTAAAAAATCTTTAAAAAATAGACGGGACACGGCATAGAAAGACTGTCTGACCCTAGGGACCAGAATCACCACGCACACACAATTGAGCACATGTTGGGATAACATTTATATTGATTAATTCGATATAGTGTGATATACCGTTATCATCACCATCATCTCTCTCACTCTATATATATACGTACACACACATATCTCTTTATTGCTGTCTACTTTCCCAGCTGGACAATCAATTTATGAATTTCTTGGGGTACGACAAAAGAAGCAGAAGCACACATGGTCTTGTCAAATAACGGATGAAATTCTTCATGCCCATTCGGTTATGTCACCAGGGACACCCTCATTTCTGAAGATGTCAACTAACAAAGGTAATAAAAAAAAAATCCTTGTAAGGCATCATCATCATTGTATATTGAGAGGAAAAAAATATCCGTGTCCCAAGTAAAAAAAATTAAACACCAAAGATCCCGTAGAATTTAATGGATAATTTTTCCTTATATATATTTACGTGTAGGTACAGACTGGTTTTAAAGATTTATGTTGAACTTCAATGAATGTAGATTGGATTGGACCACATGATTGCATGCATTATTATTATGTTTTCGACCATAATCAGACCCCTTTAATTTACAAAATGTTACAGAAGATTCAAAGTCCTTATAACATTGTTGTTGTGTTTTCCCCCCCTCAAATTCCATTTGCAATAACTTAACTTCGTAATTCGCATGTATGTGCGGCTCCGAATGATTCAATAGATGGTGAAAGAATTGAGACGCCTCTTATGATCGCTGCGAAGAACGGTGTGGTTGATATAGTGAAAAAAGCTCTGAAAAAAATCCCATCATCCATTAATATTGACGACGTGAATGATGAGGGGAAAAATATAGTCTTATTAGCAGCAGAGAAGAAGCAAACGAAGGTATACGAGTTTTTATGCAAACCGGAAATCCTTGCCCTCACCGGAAGTCTGTTTCAGCAAGTGGATAATGATGGAAACAGTGCATTGCACTTGGCAGCAAGGTATGGAGGCGGCCGTAATTTGAACCATCATGGGGAAGCATTTCTCATGCAATGGGAGTTTAAGTGGTTTGAGGTACGTAAGCCGCCGGTATATGTGTGTGTTTATATATACTTCCTCATGTTCTCAAGTATTAACCTTTTCTACTTCGTCCCTTCCTAACCAATTAACCAAATTCCTCTTATGAATTTTATTGAGTGTAATTTTGATATTTTACAAGAATGACTAATTATAACTACTTTAATATTTATATAAAATTGTTATTAGGTGCCTATAATAAGGATTAGAGGAAGTGTTGTGTCTTCATATATATAGAAATTTCGCACTGTTAAAAACGTTAAGTTGCTACAAATTTTTTATGATACTCTCTAGTATTTTAATAGAAGAAACATGTTACTAATTTGAGGATATTAAAAAGATTAACCAAATGGGTTATCTATAATAACTGTGTTTTGGTTTTTCTTAAAATACTTTTTTTAATCATATGTATTAGAATTACCCGATAGAAACTTTCTTAATATATGCAATCAGTAGGAATACCTTAGAGAGAATAAAACTTTAAATTTAACAGACATAGTAGACAGAGGTATTTTATTTAGTACTACTTCTAGTTTTTAATATAAGAGCTAGTTATGTGGTTGGATTTGGTTTTGAATATAATACCTCCATCTATCTTGTTTTCTGTATTTATCATTTTTTCCAAACTAATTTATACTTATAAATCGATTTATAATTTAGCATTACACAGAGATATTTCAGATAGATCATATATTACAATAAATTAGTTAAGTAGCTTTTTTATATTAAGTATAAAAAGAAGTACCTGAGCTGTATTCAAAATGGGGTGATGCAGTATGTGAGACGTTCAATGCGGCGTGGTGTGTTTTCGAGATACAACAAGAAGTTGGAAAGCCCAGATGACATCTTCAAAGAGACTCACAAGGACCTAATAACCCAAAGGGATGAAGAGTGGTTGAGTAAAACCTCAGGAGCATGTTCGGTGGTGTCGACGCTGATTGCGACGGTGGCGTTTGCCACAGCCGCCAGTGTGCCTGGCGGTTTTGATCAAAACCACGGCTTCCCACTCCTCATACACAAGCAAATATACCAATTCTTTGTGGCCATGTCACTGGCGGCCCTTTGCTTCTCTCTCATAGCCACCATCCTCTTACTCTCCCTCGCTACTGCTCGTTTTAATGTTGTTCAGTTCTACATAGACCTGCCTTTCAGGCTCTTCCTTGGTATGTCCACCATGTTCATTTCCATTCTTTGTATGTGGATATCTTTCTGCGCCAGTCATTCCTTCTTGCTTGTTGACAAGGCACGAAAAGTTTATATTCCTATTTATATTATCATATCAATCCCAGCCACCATTTATGCTATCACAAATTTTCCAGTATTCTGGAATCTTCTGACTACTAGCTTTTCCAAGCTTCCGGCCCCTAGCCACAACTCCTTCCCTGCAAGAACCAAGCCCCCTGAGAAAGACCAAAAATCTGCATGTGCAGATGTTTCGAGCAAAACTGTGAAAATTTGTGAAGATTATGAAAAATGACCAAACATTAAATACTTCTATGTATTTTGAAAGCTTGTTTGTGGTTTGTGACATTTAATATTTATTGTTCGTCCTTTGCTTGCAATAAATAAAGTACTGTTTGAAAATCATGCTGTAATTTAATTTGGTTTTGTTTTTGCTGGAGAATTAATTTGAGGGCCTTAGATGTTACGTTTATGAACCCAGGATGGGTGTGGTTTGGGAGACGGTGTTATGTTCAATTATTTATATGTTAATTCATGTACTATTGAGCTCTTTCAGTGTTTTTATTGATTGGAGTTACATTACTGATGCATAAATATTTATTAAGAATGATTGTATGAATTAATGAGAAAAAGGAAAAAATGCCATTATCTTCTTGATTAATTAGACATATGGTATAACAGGGTACTTAAATGGCATTACAAGTGTAACCAATATATATATATATATTTGGCATAGCAAGGCGTTTTAGTCATTTTAGGCAAATTCTAAAAAGGACTATGAGGGACCAGTGAAGTTTGAAAGCACGAAGAAGGACCACAGAAAAGTGGGGGCAAAAAAAAAAAAAGAACTGCTGAAACGCAGCGTTCAGATTAGGGCATGTGGAGAAGGAAATTATCATCTTCATTTGCAAGAGGGAACCAGGGGGGCACGGCATCCCACCTTCACTATCCATCGTCATCTTCCTCCTCTCAACTCACCATCGTTTCCATCTCACTCCACTCACCATAAAGGCTGGCAACCTCTACCCCTTCCATCATCATCGACTGTGACTTCATCTCCATCTTCCCACTTGCACAGCCAGCGACCTTCATCTTCATCTCACGTTCTCTTCACCATCATCACTGCTTTGGCCTCTATCTTCTGCTCTCTTGTTTCAGTCTCTCAACCCATCCCTTTCCTCTTCTTCCAGCTCGTGCGTGCCACTGTGATGATGTTTAAGAGGTTGGAGAAGCTCGGTGGAGCACTAAATCAGACCATGAGCAGCTGAACGTGACATTTTCCCTCGTTGCAAAGACTGTGCCGGAGCATCAATTAGGGAGTTTTGGTTGTATTCTTATCTCCGATTTCAATTTTGCATTTTGGTTTATCTTAGTTAGATATTTCGATTGTGATTCTAGAATTATTATATTACAGTTGTAGTATAGTTTGGGATTTGAATGTTGAGATTAGATAATTGCGTACAGATTTGAATTGTTTAATGTTTGACTTGCTTGCTTGACATTGAATTGAGTTGATTTAATGTTAATTTTTTGAGTTAAGTTGTTGTTCAGTCTTTAATGTGCGCAGTTGTTTAATATATTCCAATGGTGCTTAATGAGGGTTGTTAATTTTGTTGTGAAATCTTTTAGTTAAAGGGCTCATTGACAGGTAAATTAACTTAAGCTTAAGTAACTGATTTAGAAATTAAAACTCCATAAATCTTTTGAAGCAACGAAGGCACGGTTTGAAGCTGCATAGGGGAATTCATCTAAATTTTTAACTCTTTAATCGATTTTCTTTCATTCAGATCTCAGTTTAACCTTTTTACTTCTCTTTATAAAAGAAAATTCAAAAAGAAGTATTTAAAAAAGTTTTCAATTTATTTTGGGGTAAAAGTGCAACTAGTACCTTGAAAAATTTTTAAAGGTAAAACCAACACCCTAAAAATTTTTAACGGTGCAATGCCATTACCCTGACATTTTTTTTTCACTCCGTTTTCTCTCTCAAGAGAACTGGACATTGATTTTTTTTTTTTAACTTGAAATGGCCTTTAATGCTTAAAACTGGAGATGATGGTGGGGCACTGTTCGTCAAGGCACGGTTTGAAGCTGTATAGGGGAATTCATCTAAATTGTTAACTCTTTAATCGATTTTCTTTCATTTAGATTTTAATTTAATCTTTTTACTCCTCTTTATAAAAGAAAATCCAAAAAGAAGTATCTAAAAAAAAATTCAATTTATTTTGGCTAAAAGTGCACCAAGCATCTTGAAAAAATTTTAAAGGTAAAACCAACACTCAAAATTTTAATGGTGCAATTTTACCTTAATAAAATAAAAGTGGGGCAATCCCACCCTTACCGTAACATTTTGTTTTCACTCCGTTATCTCTTTCAAGAGAGCTGGGGATTGGTTTTTTTTTCTTTTCTTTTTAAAATAGCACTTAATGCTTAAAACTGGAGATGATGGTGGGGCACTGTTCATCAAGGGCTAAACCCGGGACGAAGCCATTGAGGGAGCACAAGCTATGCCTTCGACCTACCTCGATGAAGCAATGAAATTATTGCAAGGCAAATGTAAGCTATTATGATTGGGGGAAAGCGAGCGATTGAGTTTGGTATTATCTCTCCTGGAAGGCTTCTCTTCTTTCTGCTGTTTTCCTCTCCTTTCTCCATGATTTCTTTTCTTATTTCTCAGCTATTATGAGTACTAGCTGCTTCCGTGTTTTGGTGACTTTTATGTATCAAAACCTATCATCTTGAGTTGTATTGAGCTACACAGTATTTCAGTTGCAGAAGCTAATTCCAGTTTTGGTATGCTCAGCATATTGTTAGTATTTCCTTCTATTCTTGAGCTATTGGGCAGGAAGACCACAGCATGAAATTACCCTCAAGAGATTCCTTGTTACATGGGGGAAAAAAGAGAGTGGACAGTAAAGGAAGCAAATTCCTAAAACACAAGAGAAAAGACTTATTTTCTTTTATACGGGCAGAATACAATAGCTTGTTGATGATTCTTTTTCCTATGTTGCTCGCATTCCCTCAATCACTCCGTCCCTCGTTCAGCCCTTGAAGAAGACAATGAACACTGCCCCACCCACCATCATCTCCAATTTTAAACATTAAGCGCCATTAAAAAAAAATCAATGTCTTCCCCGTCGAAACATAGCTGATAGGTTGGAACACTAGAATGGTCGACGATGGTGAGCCGTCTTTGCTCGTACTCTGAGATCTTTCTGCTGGCTTGTTTAGACTGTCTATCGACTGCACCAGTGCATGTAACAACGTTTCCAATGAGTTGAACCGCTTATCTATACCATCAAAATGCACCCGCGCGCCTCCTCTATGAAATCATTCGTCTTCTTCATATTGGCTTGCAGCTCCTTCAGTCGCGTGTTCTCAGCAATGTGCCTATCAGTGAAACCACCATAATGTCACATCAAAATTGCAAATCACAACTACAGAATGTCACATTAGAATTGCAAATCACAACTATGATCAATATAACCAGCTCCCAAGGTATATATATTAAATGGTATCATAATTACAAGACTTATTTCAATGCAACGAAGAGAGCTACAAGAAACAGAATCACAGAAGAAGGCAGAGAGTGGGTCAGAGAGGAAATTAGAAAGGGAGAGAGAGAAACAATTCAAAGCATTCCATACCCAACTCTACCCAACTTTGTCATTTTTGTCCCCCAATTACAGGTAGAAATAGGCCAGGTGGCCTGCCAGAGACGTGTGGCTTGGCCTGTTTCAAAATAGAAAAAAGCTCAGGTTGAGCCTTTTTGATGGCCTGTTTAGCCTAAGAGGCCAGGCCTAAGCTTTTTGGAAAGCCTATTAAGCCTATCAGGCCTGATTTGGGCCTCTTTTTTAATCTTATTTTTAATTTTTATTTTGTACTTATATCTAGTCTTATTTTAAATTTTAATATATAATTATAACTTTTTGTCAATAATATTAACTATAATTAAGATTTCAAATATTACTTATGATATTAAAATTTAAATAAAAGATAATAATAAAAAATAATTATTATGTAGTATGTATATTTTACATTTTTTATTAGCCTATGTATTCTTTAATATGTATTTTGAAAATTTTAAAATTACAAGCTCTTTTAACAGGCTCAGGCCAAGGGCCTTGGCTGTCTTGTTTTTACCCTTACCTGCAATATCTTCTAGATCCCTCAACTGTCATGGCTTTTTTCCTATTGTGTTGGCTCCTTCTAACTGGATTGGGCTCCGTCTTCTCATTTGGGTCTCCACATTCTAAGTCCAATCCCCTTGAGCCTGCAACAAAATAGTCTTGAGAAATTTACTCATGTGACCTCGTGTTGTGCTAAGGGTTTCTTGGAAGCTACTTGGCTAAGAATAGAAGGCAATAATGAAGGTGTTGTAACTAGTCTTGGAAGCTAAGAGCTATATGGTTGTTGATTGTTAAGGTGTGATGTTTATTATATGAATTACGCTAAGATATGCTTGGAATGGTTGTGCGATTTTGTTGAAGAATTTAATTAAATTAAGATTGTTGGATATTTATAAATTGGTTTGTGGAATGGTGTAGAAGAGGAATTAGGTTACTGTGGATTGTTATTGAGTTGGCTTAGAAAATGTATTTGAAATGTTGACTTAATATTCGAATACTAAATTTTGTTGAAATTAAAATGAAATCCTTGATGCTGGCCTTGAGTGCAATATCTATATACAAAATCTTGTATTTTGTTTTATTGAAATTTGGCGAAGAAGAATTGAAAAAATTGTTATGAAAAATCCTTGAATAAATTTTTGGTTGGAATATTAATATCTTGTTCTTAGACATTAGAGGACTGAGGAGTAAGCACATTGCATAATTGTATAAATATAAGCAAATATTATGATTAAGAAAGTAGTTGGTTAGTGAAATGCACCCGATGGTAATTCTTATAAATGATATGTTTTTCAATATGTTATATATATATATATATATATATATATTTATTTATATTACCAGGCTTCTTGGAACTATAACATTTGTTTATTGATATTTGAATGTTTGGACAAGATAATGAGTTCGACTTATGATTTATATATTTTTTAAAATATCCCTATATGAACTTATATCGTTTGAAATAATCCTTCTTCGGTGACTAATGGAATTTGAAGGAAAGTTTTGAAAATATTATTTGAAGACTTTCATGGTGGGATCATTTATTACAAAATATTCTTTCTTTATGAGATTTCATTATGGGAAAAGGATATCTTTCGTTTAATGATAAATTGATCCCATGCATGTTTGAAAATGATTTTTAGAGGACTGAACATAGAACACTAGTCACTAACAACAATACTGTTAGCCCTAGGTGCACCATGGTTAATATCAAGCTTGCTTGTTATTCATGGCTTTGGCCGCGCTTGTTATCCGTGGGCATTGTTCTGACACTTGTATCCGTGGCTTCGGCTTCACTTGTTTCGTGGCTGCGTCTATGCTTGTTTTGGTGCGCTATGCTCTCGAGCTCACTTGATATTTATGGGCAACGTTCCCATGCTTGTTTCATGACTTTAGCGGTGCTTGTTGGTTACTTATTCTCGTGGACTGTATATCCACACTTGTTACTCATTCTATTGAAGTCCTCAATTGAAAAGAGTTTTTCACACTATTTCGTGATTTGAATTTATAAATAGGTTTTTTTTTATATTTGGTTAATTTTGTATGTCAAAAGTTCTTTATATATTTTCTTTTATGTTTTAATGGCTTGTTTAGAAATTAAAAGCAATGGTAACTTATTTATTTTACATGATTATACTGAATAATTTATTCTATTACCATTTCCTTTACCTTTTTTTTTTTTTAATGGGAACTATCTTGTCTTTAGAGAAAATGGTTGACTCTGCACCTCCAGCTGAATAGCAAAGAGACTT